TATTGAATGAATGCTGTTTCATACAATCTCAAGGTGCTTTATATAATTGTATTACATTATGTATTATTATTGTATAACTCCCCCCCCCGGTCTTCACGTCTCACCCAATTAATTTTTTAACGCATCATAACTTTTTCTAATGGGCCATTCAGCCTCATTGCCTGACAGCAAACACTGCTCAAATATTCACCAATTCAATGGAAATTTATTTTATTTCGGTTATACAATAGTAATAAATAATACAATAATAATAAATAATACACATTTATATAAAAATCACTCTAAAACGCGTATCTTTATCGTTGTATTTGTTGTGCGCATTCGGAATCGCTGCAAAAAATGCTCTATAAACATTTTACATTGCATTTTATAGCGATTTCAATTAATTTAATGTAAACACGCTTTGAAATCGAAGGGAATTTGAAATGAATCTGACTTTTTTTAAAGAAATCTTAAGAAATTTAATCACTTTGGAGTTTCCTCATCATTCGCATTGAGTAGTTTTGCAGTTACCTTCTCAGATTTCTATCTATAATCCTGTGAAATTCTCACGCTATCTTGCCGTCTCGTCTCGTGCGTTATTCGGACAGTTATTCAGTTATTTTCGTTAAGGAATGTGTAATATGTTGAGGATTATTTGAATTTATGCAAACGGATAGCGGATATTTGAAATCGCTCTTTATCCTCAGATCTGTATTGTTGTTTGATGTAATCTCTTCAATCGCGATCCCTTTCTTAATTATATATTGTTATTATTACATGTTATTGCGCATGATTATTAGAATATAAATCGGATTACACGTCTTCATATGTCATCTGTAGAGGATATTTTATCTTATTCTTACATCTGTCATCGTAAATCGCTTTTATCGCAAAACGACATTTCATCACAACCTATCACTTTGTTCATTCGTTTTTTTTGCTCGACGACATTTCATCACACTTCGTTCGAGACGACATTTCATCACACTTCACGCGACATTCCCAATTTCAGGTGACATCATAAAAATTTTGCAATTCGAAACGAACTTCTTAAAAGGATAACGAATCATCAAGCGTTCGGATGCACTATGTCCCAAATCAGATGGCGACTGTATACTTGATGAAACTATTAATAACTCTGATTATTCTGTTGAGCTCATCGGATCAAGTTCAGGCTTTCTCTGAACGCCAGCTTCATTTTGAAATCACTGAAGGTCAGTTTTGCCTTAATTAATTGCTTCATTCAAATATTATTCACAAATATCCAAAAAATCGCAGTTTCAGGTGTTCCAAACGGCACGCTAATCGGTCGCGTTACTTACCCGGCCACTGGGCAACATCTCCATGATTCTTCGCCCAGGAATGAAATTGCCCAGAATGGCAAGCACGAGCAGAAAGGACGGCCGATTCCAGAAGAAGACGAAGGGCCAGGAGAAGAGGCGCAGTTCCGCTTAAGTGGTCAATGCGATTTCGCGAGTTTTGAGCCGAAATCGGGCGAAATTCGAACGGCAGTCGAGAGATTGGATCGAGAGGCGATTCGGGAGGCGAATGCCACCTTTCGGATGGTGCTCGTCTCACCTGGACATGCCAACATCATCACGGTACACGTGCATGTGCTCGATATCAACGATAACCAGCCAGTGTTTCCATGCACACTTCAGGTAGAGTTTGGCAGCATTGGTTTTAAGATTTGCACTCTTTAACGGTCAATTTTAGCGAATAATATGAAGAGTTAGCGATGGGTTATGAAATGACAGTTACATTTGCTTATTTTGAAAGTTCAATGGAAATCAGGCTAACGAATGCTTTCGGTGTTTTAAAATTTTAACGAGCTGAAAGGTTTTAACGGAGCGAATGCTTGGCTCGTTGGTTACTTTATATTTTAACGGAACGCGACGTAACGGATTAGCGGGCGAATGCTTCGTTTTGTTCGCTATTTTGAAATTTTAACGGAACTTTAACGGAAATATTCAACGGATGATCTCTGACTCGAGAACATTTAACGCGGAGGATTTCTGATTCAATGGATGATCTGAATCAGATTCAGTGGATCTCAGGCGGATGATTTAACGGAATATTCGATATTCAACGGAAGTCGATAAGTTGTGCATGTCACAGATTGGAAATTTAGCAGCTGAATTTTTTTTAGCTGACCTGAAATTAAACCAGGCTTCGTGATGGTGTGAAATATTAGGCCTAGAACTCTCATGGGTGATGAAATGCTTGATTTTGACCTGAATTTAGTTACCTTTAACAAGATTTGACTAATTAATATAGGTGGGGTGGGCAGGAGCATCAATGGATCAGACGGTAAGACGTTCGCTTATTGTACGGACGGCCGCGGGTTCGGTCCCGGCCTAGGCCTAGTGGGTTTTCTCGGCGGAATTTTTTGAATTTTTTTCGTTTCTTTCGGAAATTTTTTATTTTTCAGAATGTTTCCGTTGTGGAGTCGGCCGCCATCGGTACACGGATTGCGTTGCAGTCGGCACGGGATGCCGATTTGGGCGAGAACGGCACCATAGTGGAGTATCGCATCATTTCAGAGGTATTTTGCGAAATTTTGTGGGAATTTTTTGCGGATTGATCCAAATTGATTGATTGATTGATCCAAATTGATCCATCCAATTGATCGATCCTTTTCCGAACAACGAATCCATCCACGGATTTTGCTTTTGTATTTTAAAAAATTTGTGTTTTTTCCCTATTTTTACAAATTGCAAAAA